GGGAGATGTAAGGGGAGCTCTGGATCTTTACCTGACTTTTGGTGCGTGAAATGGTGGGCAGAGAGGGTGGAAAACGAGGAGGGTCTGGATCCTTGAAGGTGTAAGGGGGTTTTGGAATCCCGCTTTCTCACTGAAGGTATCACCCAAAATGGGGGGAAATCAGGGGCGGGTGGGGAGGGTGGGTCTAGAGGGCATAATGTTGTCGCAAATTTGGTATTCGAGCATGGCCTTGCCTTCGACATTCGTTGTGCACCTCCGCCACAAGCGGTCGCATGCAGGACCTTGGTCGCCACGTGCTTGTTGATGTTTCGCACACTTTTCCATTGAGTGATTTCTGAGAGCGTGGTGCTCGGATGGCCTTAAAATTTGGAAAAGACGTGTTACGGCCCATTGTGGCAGATTCTCTTGAAGAACTCAACGTGACACCTCAACTTTAAAACAGAAAGCTGGGCGAGGAACAGATCCGTTTGGATTCAAATCCGGGCCGCTCTCGCGATCAACCGCGAGAAAGGGTCCTCGAGAGGCACGTTGAGAGGTGGTTCGTCAACACTATTCTGATCGTCGGAGCGCACTGGCGCCCTATCAAAGGTCGGAGGAACGTCAACACTGTCGCTGCCGGTAGACATCCACCCTTGGTGCAGTGAGATACGTGGTGGGTTATCCTCTCTACTCGAGCTAGCAAGTATCGCCGTAGACGTGCTTGCAAGCCCGGTGGCAGCCATCCCACAGGCATTGCTATCTATGTGCTTCTCTAATGCACCGTAGCGGAGGATATCTTGGAAGCACTTCGAGCACCTCATTTTGAAACAGCTGAAGAAACTAGAGTTTGAACATAGGAAAAAAAACGAGGCATGTAGAAAAAAACTAAGAACTAGAAAAGCTTTCAGGATGCAGGAGTTGGACTGTCCTGCTGGGCTTGTAATTCTCGCATCCTGAGTCCGGTTTAGTAAATTTGTTTGCTCTCTGCTGCGGTTGTGTTACTAAATACTACGATTTGGTAAGGTTTATAGGGTACTACAGTTATTCAGAAATGCCCCGTGCCGCACATTTGACGCAAAATTTGTGCATCGTAGCTTCAGCAGATGCGAAAACCGTCATATTTGGCGAGCCGTTGGATGCGTTTGTGTAAAAAAAAAAACAAAACCAAAAAAAAAAAAAAAAAAAAAAAAAAACCGTAGGATTTGTCGAAAAAAGATAGTTGCGAAACTCAAATGCGGGAGCAACGTTGAGTGAAAACAAATAAGATCCGGCCACGTGTAACTAGCTCAATTTCTCTCGCGCATAGTCAAAGGCATCTGGCCGTTGACGCTCTTGTTCGAAACATAAACGTACATCCTCTCGCGCTTGTCCCCCCTTGGAGTTTACTGGTCGGTGCTGCTGCAAAAGGATTATGGGACATCCGCTACGCACATCATCATCGTGACTCCACCTCAACAATCAGTGCCCTACACAGAATTTTGTCCCTGTTTCTCTCGGCTTGCAAACTTTTCCTTGTGCAAATGTAGAAGCGGTCTGCCAAGTATCAACGAGCAACTACTTCCTGTATTCGCTACGCCAGGTCTCATCGCCTCCTTACCATTGACCACTTTGGCTACCCTTCCATACACCCTGCCCTACATCGGACATGGTTGTTGGGTGACAGTTTTCGCCCACCTTGACCCCTTATTCTTTCATTCCCTTATACGCGGTATAGGCTGTGTGGTCGCAAGATCTCATACTAGCTAGTGGAGCTAGGCAGCTAGCATGCTTTTGTGCATGTTGTTTTCTCAACCTTGATGAATACGTCATAGCTGATGCCTGTACTGTACACTCTGGTTACGACCATCAATAAAACTTAAAACTTCAAATCGAAACATAAATGTACATGCTGCGAAAAGGGGTTTACGCGCCCAGCGGTGTGCATGCCAAGCTCGCCCAAGTCACACCAGCCACAGGCGCCCTCCAATGTGCGAAATTGTTTGAAAATGTTACAAAACCTTCTTCTGTCAAACATAACTTATGTTGTTACTGTAGACTATACAGGTTTGTGCCTTAGAGGGTACAACACACTAGTCTATATTGCCCAGTATCTTCCTATTCTATTCATACTCTCTTTCTAACATGGTATCATGAGTAGGTTAGGTTCCTCTCGCCCGCCCGCGCTTTCGCCCTAGGCCCTAGCCGCCCTCATGCCCCGCTCCTAGCCGGCCCGCCTTGACCATTTGCGCCCACCCCTAGCTGGCCCCCTGGCTGTCGTGCCCGCTCCTAGCCGGCCCCCCTGGCCGTTCGCGCCCGCCCCTAGCTGGCCCCCTGGCCGTCGCGTCCGCTTCTAGCCAGCCCCCTGGCCGTTCACGCCCGCTCCTAGCCAGCCCCCCCCCCTGGCCGTTCGCGCCCGCCCCTAGCTGGCCCCGTGGCCGTTCGAGCCCGCCCCTAGCTGGCCCCCTGGCCGTTCGCGCCCGCCCCTAGCCGCCTCCCCCTGGCCGTCGCGCCCGCTCCTAGCTGGTCCCCCTGGGTTCGCGCCCACTCCTAGCCAGCCCCCTGGCCGTTCGCACCCGCCCCTAGCTGGCCCCCTGGCCGTTCGCGCCCGCCCCTTGCTGGCCCCCTGGCCGTTCGCGCCCACCCCTAGCCGGCCCCCTGGCCGTTCGCGCCCGCCCCTAGCCGGCCCCCCGGCCGTTCGCGCCCTCCCCTAGCCGGGCCCCCCCTGGCCATCGCGCCCGCTCCTAGCTGGCCCCCTGGCCGCTCGCGCCCGCTCCTAGCTGGCCCCCTAGCCGTCGTGCCTGCTCCTAGCCGGCCCCCTGGCCGTCGCGCCCCTCCTAGCCGGCGCCCTGGCCATTCGGGCCCACCACTAGCCGGCCCCTCCTTGCCGTTCGTGCCCGCTCCTAGCCGGCCTCTCGCGCCCCTGTCGCGCCCGCTCCTCACCGGTCTCTCGCGCCCGTCCCTTGTTGGCCCCGGCCCCTCTCCTAGCCGGCCCTGGGTTCGCTACGCCGCCGGCCCGTCTCTGCACTGCCCTGCACCGCCCGGAGCCGCTCTCCATCGCTTTGCACCGCACTCCACCGCCCAGCACAACACTGCACCGCCTTGTACCGCACGGCACCGCACAGCGTCGCACAGCACCGCCCTACACCGCCCTGCAACGCACTGCACCACACAGCATCGCATTTCCCTGCACTGCAGTGCACTGCCCTTCCCTGCTCTGCATCGTTCCTGATGGCGGAGGTGCTTCGCTTCGACGCTGAGGGTCAGCCGTTTGAGTTTGACGCGTAGCTGGTCGACCTCCGCCGCCATCTCACTGGTCAGCGGCAGGATGGCCACTCGCTGTCTGTCCACCTTGACGGTAAGCTCCCCTGCCCTGACCCCCCTGCTGCGCTGCCCGCTGACCCATCGTCTGCTGAGCGTGAGTCCGATGCCGTTGCTGCCCTTGCGCAGCTTGCTATCAGCCATGCCCTCCCACTATCTGAGCGCCCTCCCTTTAAGTCCGTCACGACTGCACAGGCGTTCCTAGATGCTGTTGTCGAGCGCTATACCACCCCGCCTACTGCCTCCGTAGGTCGCGTGATCCTGCCGATGCTTTTCCCTAACCTTGTGTCTTTCCCCACTGTCGCTGACCTTGCCACCCACCTGCGCACGATAGACGCGACCTGGCGTTTTGCCTGCACTGAGACCCAGCTTAGGGCTCATCAGTGGCCCCTCTACTCTGTCCTCTACCTGCTAGCCAACCGCCCGCCTGACCGCCTTGCCACTGCCCGCGACCGCTTCCTTAGCGTCCACCCCAGTGACCTCACCCTCATCGACTTCGTCAACACCCTGTCTGCCATAGAGACCCGCCACCGCTCTATCGACTCCGTCTGTCGGGGGTGCTCCTGCCCTTGGCAGTAACCTCCTGGAGGACCGCCTGTACGAGCTTGCTTTCCTGTCCGAGGCTGCTCCCCATCTCTGTTCCACACTGCTAGTCCCTGAGGGTGACCCTGACGCTTTCGACATCCCGACCCCTCGCACTTACGCTGAGGCGACCTCGAGACCCTGGGCCTCTCAGTGGATAGCTGCGATGGAGCATGAGATGGCATCTTGGAGATCCACCGGCACCTACAGCGACGCAGTTCCCCCACCTGGGGTGAACGTAGTCGATGGCCGCTGGCTCTTCAAGGTGAAGCACCCTCCTGGAGAGCCGCCTGTGTTCAAGGCGCGCTACGTGGCTAGAGGTTTCCGTCAGCGTGAGGGGGTGGACTTCTTTCAGACCTTCGCTCCGACCCCAAAGAAGACTACTCTTCAGGTACTGCTACTTGTAGTAGCTCAGCGTGACTACGAGCTTCACTCCCTTGACTTCTCCGCTGCTTTTCTTCAGGGCAGTCTACACGAGCAGGTCTACCTGCGCCGCCCTTAGGGATTCACTGGTACCTTCCCTCCTTGGACCCAGTGGCTCCTGCGGCACCCCATCTACGGCCTACGCCAGGCTCCCCGTGAGTGGCACGACACGCTGCGTGCTACCCTAGCTGACCTACAGTTCTTTCCGTCCTCTGCAGACCCCTCGCTCTTCGTTCGTGCTGGCCGGACTCCGTTCTACATCCTTGTTTACGTGGACGATCTGGTCTTTGCCACAGCAGACAGGGACGCACTGGCCTCCGTGAAGGCAGAGCTGCTGAAGAGACACACGTGCACTGACCTTGGAGAATTGCGCCACTACCTTGGCTTGCAGATCTCCAGGAACAGAGCAGCGCGCACCATCACTTTGACTGAGTCACACTTGGTGCGCCAGGTCCTTCAGTGGTTCGGCCTTCAGTTCTCCCCCGCACAGCCCACTGCTCTGCCTCTAGACCACAGGCTCTCTGCTCCAGTTCCTGAGGAGTGAGCGGAGCCCAGTGGTCCTTACGCAAAGCTGGTGGGTTGCCTCATGTACCTGATGACGTGCACTCGCCCAGATCTCGCATACCCTCTCAGCATCCTGGCTCGCTTTGTGGCCACAGGCAGACACCGTCCTCAGCACTGGTCTGGCGCTAAGACGGTTTTGCGTTATTTAGCAAGTACATCGGGCATGGGGTTAGTGCTAGGAGGACGCAGGCCAGTGGTCCTTACTGGACACACAGACGCTTCTTGGGCAGACGACGCCGAGACCCTCAGGTCCTCTCAGGGCTACTGCTTTAGTCTTGGTTCAGGTGCCGTCTCATGGAGAGCTACCCGCTCGTCGTCTGTGGCTCAGTCCAGCTGTGAGGTCGAGATCTACGTCGGTGCCATGGCGACACAGGAGCTCCGCTGGCTGACCTTCTTGCTCACTGACTTAGGTGAGCGGCCTAGCTCTGCCCCGGTCCTGTACGCTGACAACAGGCCCATGATCCTCCTGTGTCAAGAGCCTCGACTCGAGGCCAGAGCGAAGCACATCCAGCTGCGGTACTTCCTCCTGCGAGAGCTACAGCAGTGCCGCCAGGCTCGCGTAGTACACTTGGCTTCCGGTGCCAACACAGCTGATATCTTTACGAAGGCGCTTGTGCCTACAGATCATCAGCGGCACTGTTTACAGCTAGGTCTCGTTCCTGTAGCCTCTCACTTGCCAGGGCCTTGACTTCGTACTGTCCTTTATATATATATTAGCTCAGACTGGACTTGTGTCCTCTCCCAGTGGCTGGACTAGTAGTGCCGCCCTGGTCTTGCTCTTGCCTTGTCTGTACTCCTTTTGACTGGTCTTTAGACCCTTGTCTCAATGGCTGGACTAGTGGTTCCGCCGTGAGCTGCTTCTTCCCTTGTTAGGCACTGCCCCTATATAGTCTAGGGGGTGTTGTCAAACATTAGCATATCTAGTGTTTGTATAGACTGTATAGGGTCACCTCTTAGAGAGTACAACACTTGCATATGTATTCTTGTACCCACGTACTCTAGTCATTCAGTTCTTACTTTAAAATGGTATCACACGTAGGTTAGAATCCCCCACGTACCGCTTCCGCCCGTACCCTATAGCGCCTCCTAGCCCCGTTGCGGCCCCCTGGGCCCCATAGCGCCTCCCGGCCCTGTCGCGCCCCTCCTGGGCCTTGTCGCGCCTCCTAGCCCCGTCGCGCCCCTCCTGGGCTCCGTCGTGCCTCCTAGCCCCGTTGCGCCCCTCCTGGGCCCCGTCGCGCCTCCTAGCCCCGTCGCGCCCCTCCTAGGCCCCGTCGCGCCCGCTACAGCCGCGTCGTGCGCAGCCTCGCCCCATCGCGCCCCCTAGGCCCTGTCGCGCCTTGCCTGGCCCCGTCGCGCCCTGCTTGGCCCCGCCGCACCCGCCTGGCCCCGTCGCGGCCAGCCTGGCCCCGTCGCGCCTGCCTGTCCCCGTCGCGCCTGCCTGGCCCCGCTGCGCCTGTCTGGCCCCGCAGCGCCTCCCTGGCCCCGCCGCGCCTGCCTGGCCCCGCTGCGCCTGGCTGGCCTTGCCGCGCCTGCCTGGCCCCTCCGCGCCGGCTTGGCCCCGCCTGGCCCTGTGCTGCACTGTTCCTGATGGCGGCGAAGCTTCGCTTTGACGCTGAAGGCCAGCCTCTAGAGTTCGAGGCCTTGCTAGCAGACCTCCGCCACCAGCTCACTGGTCAGCGGCAGGATGGCCACCCGCTCTCGACACACCTTGACGGTATGCTTCCCTGCCCATACCCCCCTGCTGTGCTGCCTGCTGACCCCACCCCTGCTGAGCGCGAGTCTGCTACTGCCACTGCCCTCGCTCGCTCTGTCTGGCTTTCCTGTGACGCTGTCGCCCAGCTTGCCATTAGCAATGCCCTCCCCCCGTCTGAGCGTCCTCGCTTTAGGTCTATCACCACCGCCCATGCTTTCTTAGACGCTGTTATCCGGCGCTATTCCGCCCCGCCAGCTGCCTCGGTGGGTCGCCTTATCATACCGATGCTCTTTCCTAACCTTGTGTCTTTCCCCACTGTCGCTGACTTGGCTGCCCACCTACGCACGATAGATGAGACCTGGCGCGCTGCCTGCACTGACGCACAGCTTAGAGCGCACCTGCCGCCCCTTACCTCTACCCTCTACCTGCTTGCCACCCGCCTTCCTGACTGCCTTGCCGCTGCTCGTGACCGCTTCCTTAGCATTCACCCGGGTGCCCTCACCCTCACAGACTTTGTAGACACCCTGACTGATATTGAGACCCGCCACCGCTCTATCGCCCAGGCGAGCGGTGTTGTGCCGGTCCCTATCTTTCAGGGTTGTGCCCCCGCTCAGTGCACCTTCTCCGATGGTTCTGCAACTGTGGCTGAGACCGCCGCTACAGCGCAGTTCCGTCCGGGGAAGGGCCGCCGCCCCAAGGCTGGGTGCGGCGGCGGTGGTGGGGGTGCCAGTGGAGGTGGTGCTGGAGTCGGGTCGTCTGGTGGTGGAGTGGACAAGGGGACCCTGCCAGGTCCGGCTGAGCAGCAGCAGCAGTAGTCGCAGCAGCAGCAGCAGCAGCAGCAGCAACAGCAGCAGCAGCAGCAGCAGCAGCAGCAGCAGCAGCAGCAGCAGCAGCAGCAGCAGCAGCAGCAGCAGCAGCAGCAGCCGCAGCCGCAGCAGCCGCTGCAGCCGCAACAGCTGCACCAGCTGCAGCAGCCGCCGCAAACGAGGCAGGCGAGTGTCCTCCCGCCCGGGTGGCCTGGCGCTGGTGGTGGTCGTGCGCGTGGTGGTGTGCCGGGTGACGGTTCGGGAGGCGTGCGCTGTCAGTACCAGATCCAGACCGATCCTCGCCGCGGCTTCGTTTGCGGTAAGATCGGTCACACCATTGCCCGCTGTTTTCGTCGCTTGGACGACCTGTTTCGTCAGCATTTCGCACCGTCGCACGACCTCCCGGACTGGCACATTTTGCTTAGTGTAGAGTTCAGATTTTTGACATGGACATGGATGCCATTGTTTCTGCCCTGCATGTGATGTATGCTGATGACTCTAGTGTGATCCCCTCTTATTACTCCTTGTCGCCTAGTGTAGGTGTGCCTAGATTAGCCTCCCCTGCTGCGTCAGGCGTAGGAGCTTCTGCCTTGTTTAGCCTTGGTGCTTCCACCGTCGCCCAGTTGCCAGACGCCACTACTTCGCTCTCCTTCACCTTGGACTCTGGCGCTTTCCGGTGTTTCTTCCGTGACTCTACTACGCTGACGCCGCTTCCTGTTCCTGCTGCAGTTTCTCTTGCTGACCCCTTCGGCAGTCCAGTAGTCGCTTGCAGTTCCACCACCCTTCCCTGTCTGGCGGTTCCTTCGGGCTCTCTCACAAGTCTGCATATCCCCTCGTTCTCCAGGAACCTAGTTGGTGTCGCCTGCCTCCAGGACCTTGGCGTCACCACTACGTTCCCTGGTCACGAGCGGTACACTGTCTGTAACGAGGCCGCCACTGGTACCCCCTTGTCCACGTTCCCCCGGGACCCGGTGTCCGGCGTATTCACCCTGGATACCGTGACCCCCCCGGCAGGGGCGCCCCTTCAGGTGGCTGCGTCTACCCAGGTTGCTACTGCCTGCTCCTGTCGGTCCCTCACTCACCCGACTCTCCTTTTGGCACCATTGCCTAGGTTACCCTGCGCTCCCGCGTCTGCGTCACATGTCCCAGCACGGTCTCGTCCTTGGTCTCCTTGGTTCGTTCCCCGCTTTTCCCTCCTCCCCCGCCCCACCTTGCACGCCTTGTGTCGAGGGTCGGCTTCGCCGTGCCCCTCACTCCTCCTCGTTTCTCCCTACTTCCACGCCGCTGCAGACCCTGCACATGGACGTCTAGGGCCCCGCCCCCGTCCATGGGCCGCGTAAAGAGCGCTACTTCCTCGTACTTGTTGACAACTTCACTCGCTACACCACAATCTATCCCGTGGAGCGCAAGGCCGACGTACCTGACGTTCTCATTCCCTGGCTTGTCTCTGCCCGTGTCCACCGAGGTCTCCCTGTCCTGCGTCTTCACTCCGACCATGGTGGTGAGTTTGCCCCAGGTGTCCTTGGTCGCTTCTGTCGTGCGGAGGGCATCACCCAGACGTTCACCCTACCGGACTCCCCACAGCAGAATGGGGTCGCTGAGCGACGCATTGGTCTGGTCATGGAGGTTGCTCGCACCTCCATGATCCATGCCGGTGCACCCCATTTTCTGTGGCCGTTCGCCGTGCGCTACGCTGCTCACCAGCTTAACCTGTGGCCGCACCCCCAGCAGCCACAAGTTTCGCTGACCCTTCTTTGGACCGGGTCTCCTGGTGATGCATCTGCGTTCCACGTCTGGGGCTGCCTTGCTCACGTTCGTGCCTCTGGCATGGACAAGCTCACTGCCCGCACACTTCCCTGCGCCTTCCTAGGTTTCCCCCTTGACGAGTCCGACTGGCACTTCTACCACCTGCCGTCTCACTTGGTCTTTCACTCTCGCGACGTCACCTTTGACGAGTCCGTCTCCTTCTACCGTCGCTTCCCCCACCACGGTCCCCCGGTTACTCCCCCCCTGTTCCTGGTCACTCCTTCCCCAGTGGTCCCTGCCCCCCCCCCTCCACCACCCCGTCCTGCCCCCTCTGGTGTGTCCCACGTCCCCCCTCTTCCGTCAGTTGTCCCGGTCGAGGAGTCCTCTGACTCTGGTGGTCCTGCGGAGCAGTCCTCGCTGTCTGCCCCTCCCCCAGTGTCTCCCCCCTCACAGCCTCTGCAGCCGCCGCCGCCCCTGCTGTCGCAGCCGTCATTCCCGCCGCCGCTGCCGCCGTCGCAGCTACACTTCGTCGACCCTTGGGGTGCCCGCGTCGGGGTGGGTGCTAGTTCTGGGGTTCCTGTTGAAGACTGCCCCGGTGGCCCTGGGGGTGGTACTGGTGCTCGGGGGGTTTCGGGCTCTGGGGGTGTTCCTTCTGGGGGTGCCGGCGTGGAGTGTTCCGGCGGTAGCCGCGGAGCAGCTTGCGGTCCCGGTGTTGGTGTTGTGCCGCCGCAGCAGCAGTCCCCGCTGGTGTCCGCCCTTCGCCTGCTCGGCCTTCCGTCCCCTGACTTTGCGTCCCGTCCTCCCCTGCCGTCTCCTCCTCTTCCTATCTACGGCACTGTGTTCCCTCCGCCGGACTCATCCCCGGCTCGTCTTCCCCCTCGCTCCCCCCTTGAGTCCCCTCCTCTGTCTCCTGACCCGACGCCTCCGTCTCACGTCTGGTCCCACCGTCCCTCCCGCGCTCGTCCTGTCTCCCCTGTCACGCGCTCTCACCCTATGTTGCTTCGTTCCCACGCGTCTTGTCCTCCCCCTCTATCGTCGCCTCCTCCGTCCTCTCTTACCGTTGCGCCTCCCCCTCTGTCTGACTACCTTCGTGCCGCTCGTCCTCTTGTTCCTCGGGTCCTCGCCTCTCTCGTTACCGACCCATCTGTTCCGGTCTCGTGTCTTGATGCTCTAGTCGCTGCGGTCGCTGACTTCGCCTCTACCCGCCGCCTTGACTACGCTACCGCTCTGGTCTCTGACCGTGCCTGTCCTCCGTCTGTCGGGGGTGCTCTTGCCCTCGGCAGTGACGTCGTGGAGGACCGCCAGTTCGAGCTTGCTTTCCTGTCCGAGGCTGCTCCCCATCTCTGTTCCATGCTGCTAGTCCCTGAGGGTGACCGAGACACTTTCGACATCCCGACCCCTCGCACTTACGCTGAGGCGACCTCGGGACCCTGGGCTTCCCAGTGGATAGCTGCCATGGAGCAGGAGATGGCATCTTGGAGATCCACCGGCACCTTCGTCGACGCAGTTCCCCCGCCTGGGGTGAACGTAGTCGATGGCCGCTGGCTCTTCAAGGTGAAGCGCCCTCCTAGAGAGCCGCCTGTGTTCAAGGCGCGCTACGTGGCTAGAGGCTTCAGTCCGCGTGAGGGGGTGGACTTCTTCCAGACATTCGCTCCGACCCCGAAGATGACTACTCTTCGGGTTGTGTTAGACCCAGCTGCTCAGCGTGACTACGAGCTTCACTCCCTCGACTTCTCCACTACCTTCCTTCAGAGCAGCCTACACGAGCAGGTCTACCTGCGTCGCCCTCAGGGCTTTACTGGTACCTTCCCTCCTGGGACTCAGTGGCTCCTGCGGCGTCCCGTCTACGGCCTGCGGCAGGCTCCTCGTGAGTGGCACGACACGTTGCATGCTACCCTTGCTGACCTGCAGTTCTTTCCGTCTTCCGCAGACCCCTCGCTCTTCGTTCGTGCTGGCCAGACTCCGTTCTACATCCTTGTTTACGTGGACGATCTGGTCTTTGCCACAGCAGACAGGGACGCACTGGCCTCCGTGAAGGCTGAGCTGCTGAAGAGACACACTTGCACTGACCTTGGAGAACTGCGCCGTTACCTTGGCTTGCAGATCTCCAGGGACAGAGCAGCGCGCACCATCACCTTGACTCAGTCACACTTGGTGCGCCAGGTCCTTCAGAGGTTCCGGCCTTCAGTTCTCTTCTGCACAGCCCACCCCTCTGCCTGTAGACCACAGACTATCCGCTCCAGATTCTGAGGAGTCAGTAGAGCCCAGTGGCCCTTACGCAGAGCTGGTGGGTTGCCTCATGTACCTGATGACTTGCACTCGTCCAGATCTCGCATACCCTCTCAGCATCCTGGCCTCGCTTTGTGGCCACAGGCAGACACCGACCGCAGCACTGGTCTGCCGCTATGAGAGTTTTGCGTTATCTTGCGAGTACATCGGGCATGGGTTAGTGCTAGGAGGACGCAGGCCAGTGGTCCTTTACTGGACACACAGACGCTTCGTGGGCAGACGACGCCAAGACACTCAGGTCTTCCCAGGGCTATTGCTTCAGCCTTGGTTAGGTGCCGTCTTCGTGGAGAGCTACCCGCTCCTCGTCTGTTGCCCAGTCCAGCTGTGAGGCCGAGATCTACGCTGGTGCCATGGCGGCAGGAGCTCCGCTGGCTGACCTTCTTGCTCACTGACTTAGGTGAGCGGCCTAGCTCTGCCCCGGTCCTGTACGCTGACAACAGGGCCATGATCCTCCTGTGTCAGGAGCCTCGACTCGAGGGCAACGAAGCATATCCAGCTGCGGTACTTCCTCCTGCGAGAGCTACAGCAGCGCCGCCAGGCTCGCGTAGTACACACTGGCCTCCGGTGCCAACACAGCTGATATCTTTACGAAGGCGCTTGCGCCTAAAGATCATCAGCGGCACTGTTACAGCTAGGTCTAGTTCCTGTAGCCTCTCACTTGCTAGGGCCTTGACTTTGTACTGTCCTTTATATATATATTACTCAGACTGGACTTGTGTCCTCTCCCAGTGGCTGACTATAGTGCCGCCCTGGTCTTGTTCTTGTCTTGCCTGTACTCCTGTTGACTGGTCTTTAGACCCTTGTCTCAGTGGCTGGACTAGTAGTGCCGCCCTGAGCTGCTTGTTCAGGCACTGCCCCTATGCAGTCGACGGGGTGTGTCAAACATTAGCATATCTAGTGTTTGTATAGACTGTATGGGTCACCTCTTAGAGAGTACAACACTTGCATATGTGTTCTTGTACCCACGTACTCTAGTCATTCAGTTCTTACTTTAACAGGTGTGTCAAACATATCTTATGTTGTTGCTGTAGTGTAGACTATACAGGTTTGTGCCTTAAAGGGTACAACTCACTAGTCTATATTGCCCTATATCTTCCTATTCTATTCATAGTCTCTTTCTAACATCTTCGTACACATCATGGTTCGGCGGAAACAATGTTTTCAATCAACCAATCGATCGCGCATGCCTAGGGTCTGTCGAGAAATCTCAACCATTCGAAAAAAAATTGGATTGTCGACCGTCGATGCTGAACATCGGACCGCGCTGAAACGAAATCCGGGGGCGCGCAACCTGAAAAAGGTCGAAATTGCAACGTTTGCAGCAGCTCCATGCCTATTTCCAACAGATCTCACCCAAATGCGTGTAAACGGTAAGTAGTGGCCGTGGACCCAAACCCCAATATTCCCTCACAACCCCTTAGCCGTAAACAAAGGGGTCGTGATTTTTTAGATGCTGTTGCAGATGTACTATTGGCATCACACGCTCAAACTTCATATGTGCTGAATCTTGGTCAGAGCTGTGCAGAACCAACACATGAGAAGGGAAACAAGGAGGGAAGGGGAGAGGGAG